TATATAATATATTAGGCCAGTAGATAGCATTTTTTTGAAAATTATGAGGGCCGGGGATTTAGCTCAGCGGTTTGGTGGCCTGCCTTGCAAATACAAAGACCCGAGTTCAATCCCCAGCACCATAAAAAATAATAATAAATAAAAAAATAAATTATGAAAGCATTGATAATCTTGGGATATGAATCTTGGGATGATACAAAAAGAAAAGATTGACTGATTTGATTACCTAAAAATTGCCAGCATTGGTATAATACCTTCACACTAGATCAGTGTACAAAAATGAGACACTTGTCACGTGACAAAGAGTTAATCTCATTTGTTATGTTGAGTCTTCATAAATTACTTGGAAAAAAAAAAAGAAAGAAAATGAACCCCTTTCGGAAAAATGAGCACAAAATTCTTCTTACGAAATTCTTGTTTCACAAAGTAAGGAATAAACAACAAATTCCTATTAAACTTACATAGGCAAGTTTCAGGTGGCTCTAGAATTAGGCTGCTAGGGTTGGTATTGGCTTTGGTGCTCTCTCTTAGTTTTCTCCTTCATAAAGGGGAACAAAAAAGCCTTTCATGGGACTACAGTGAGGTTTAAATGAAATAATTCATATAAAGTGCTTCCTGGCTCCCCCAAAATGGAACTAAAGAAAGGTAGAATAAAGCAAAGAGCCCATCAGTCAACAAATTTGAAATAGGAAAGAATAGTGATGTTGATGGTTTGGGACAAAAGATCCTGTCTAGTCTAAATTGATGTCTTTAGGGAGAGCAGTTTGATATATGAAACATTTATATATCAGTGTGAACACTTTTTGACCACTTTAAGTTCTTGGAATTATCCTAAGGAAAACAAGCAAGAATAGAGATTTCCATAGGCTTTAAAAAAAATTATAATACAGTTTATGGGAGTGAGAAAAATGGAGACATTTGTAGCTCATGTGACAGAATGCAATACAAACACTAAAAGTCATGTTTTTGAAGGATATTTAAAGGAAGACATGTTTGGTGTTTGTATTGTAATTTTATAAGAAAAAGCCAAATGTTAAAGAATACTGTATATAGTTGGGTCCTGATTTTTAACTAAGTTATATAAGATTGAAAGTAGATGGGAAGGGAATACAAGAATTTTAATAGTGGTTATTACTGGTGAGTAATTAGTCATTTTTATTTTTTTCAAACATTTCTATAGTAAATGTGTTACTATAATCAACCTATATTGTGGAGTATAACAAACTTACATGATGAATTTCCATCTCAAGCTTATCAGCCCCTGTTAGGTTTCCTTTATTTTATTGAGACGAGTGAAAAATACTTTTACTTAAAAAAAAGAGGGCTCTTTTGGGCCCTATTATTCAGGAAGGCAGAGGACTGTGAGGAGAGGGTCATGAGGCTGGTGTGGGACTTGAGTGATGCGTTCCATGTTGTTTGGAAAGAATATAAATGATTACATTGTTAATGTGGCCTTTGAATTTTCAGAATTTTAGAAGAACTTTGATTCTGTTCATTCAAGATGTCTTTGACACAGTAATCAAGAAGATAAATATATCCATTTTGAAAAGTCAGAGCCAGAAGAGTACTTCAAATATTTGGCTAGCCTACCTCCAGATAAAAAGCAGTTAAAATTATAATGTTACAGGAAAAGGTGTTGCATTTGAAATTGGTTCCAAGAATGAAGCAGGATTAGAAAGAAAGAAAACAATTCCTCCTTAGCCAAGAAATTTCAGCTTCCAGCACAGCATCAAAGAATGGAGTATTTGAAGGAGCTGCTACTGGTTGGAAAAGAACTAAATGTCTCATGCAAGGGGCCTTTGAAAAATCATCCAAGTAGAAACTGCTTTTTGTTTTTAATTATTGGGATTTGGATGGAGTTGAAATAATTAATTGGGATGGTGACTTTCACAGGTTTACACTCTGAATAAGAAAATAAGCTCCCACATGACAAGCCAATTGTAATTATCTGTCAGTTAGATGTTTTGCCTGGGCTCTGAGAGAGTAAAGCTCCCTGTTTCAAACACACACATTGTTTCTGTATATGTTGGTGCGTATATGTTTAAACAACTTTTGGCATGATTGAACAACAGCAGCAGCCAAAACCCTCATTTTTGTGGGTAATTTTTATTACCTCTATAATCTGGGGCTCATTTTATTTTAGGCGAGTGGCTGAACTGTTCATGTTTGATTTTGAAATCAGTGGAATCCATCTAGATGAAGAAAAGGTAAATAAATCTCCCTTCTTGTCTCCACTCTTCTTGATTTACTGACATTTAAATAATATCGTTTTTGCTGTAGTCCTTGTATATTACTTGAGTTTGCATATTGTAAAAATGCTCAGGAATTTTATTTGTCATGAAGTTCTCCTGAATGGGTTGTTTTTGAATGTAGTATTCTCTAAAAGCTAGCCTATTGCACTGTGGCAGTTCAGAATTAAGAAATGACTTGAGACAAGTGAGACATTTTAGATGTCATAGAATTAAGATGAAGTGGGCGAAATTAGGACAGATTGGCGAGTAGGAAGGCCCGTCACTGAAAATGGAAAGCACAGAAGACTGCATTAGTACCGGTGCATGTGTTAACTCCTGTGATACATGTCTTAGGCAGCATCCACACTCATCCTGGAGGCAGTTCTGGCCCGACACACTGTCCAGACCCTTGTTTTGCAGATGTGGAAATAAGACAGAGCGACTCACTGAAGTGCTCATCCTCAGCTCCAGGACTTCTCACAGTGCCACTGCTTTTCCTAGAAAATGACACACCAAGCAACTGAGTTCCTCCTGTCCATAGTCAGCTTAAGGCTGGAGGATCGGGGTGCACTGCTGGGTCTGCAGTCCATGGGGTTCCCTACTCACCTGTCTTAGACTGCTGTGGTTAGACCCACACCCTTTTGAAAAGATAATTATGTTTCTTCTTTGTAATTAAATTCTTTACCTAGGGGGGCAGCCCACTTTCTGGTCCCCCTTCTGTCCATCTTAGACAGGAGCCCTCTTTCTCTAAATAAAATTTTCCTATTCAAAAAAAAAAATTCTTTACCTAGGAACAGAGATTAGTTTATTAGCATACTCTGGGAAGTAAATAGCAGTCTTGGGGATATACAATCAGGCCTCTTTGTCTAGATCCAGCCCACTACAAACAGAAAATACTCAGGAAGAAATTGCATCTGTACTGAATGTATAGACTTTTTTTTCTTGTTATTAATACCTTAATACAGTATAACTACTTAAACGATGCGTGCATGTTATTAAGTATTATGTATAATCTGTTTGAAATCTGTATTTTAATTAGTACATTTGCAGTACAGAATGACACATTCATCATGAGGAGTTGGTACATGTACGTGCACACCTTAACTCTTTGTATGTCCCATTCTCCTCGCCCCTCATGCTCCCAGGCACTATGAGTCATCTAGAGATGATTTAAAGTCTGCAGCAGGATATACCTGAGTTCTATGTGAATATAGTGCCTTTTTACCGAGGGACTTAAGCATCAGTAGGTTTTGGTATTAGTGGGAGGAAGGAGGCCTTGGAACCAATCCCTGTGGATACCAAGAGATGATTGTGTATCATATCGATACATATTATCTTTTTTTTATTTTGTTTTTTTGAGACAGTGTCTCATTATGTAGTTGAGACTGAACTGGAACTCACTGTGTAACCCAGGTTGGTCTCGGACTCACAGCGATCCTCCTGTCTCAGCCTCCCAAGTGCTGGGTACATATTATCATTTTGACTGGGGCTGGGTTTGAATAATGGTGGGTCAACTCATATGTCTGATGTTTTTGTTTGGCATTAAGGTCAGCAGATGACTTGTGCTGTGACCCTGAGCCAGGATCTGCCTTCTTATCGTTCCACAAAGCCAGTGGGCTCTGCTCACATTGCCTGCCTGAAAGAAACACGGTTGTCCATCTCTAGATCAGTTCTTTATTAGCAATTTTCTGTTCCAGTGTTGCATACCACCATTCTGAGCCACCCAAAAGAAACTTTTGGAATCAGTTTGCATTTTTCCCTTACATATTAGTGACTCAGTCCTTGGATCATCTTTTCTGAAAACAAGTCACTTTGACCGGAGGGCTTGGCTGTCCTAAAAGCCATTGTCTTCTTAACCTCATTGTGATGCACATTACCCCGACATTTGCTGTAGTGAAGCATGTATTTCTCATCACATCTTCATGATGGTGTTGAGGTTGGTACTGTTTCGTGTTACAGTTGAACACTGCTGAATCTCGAGGAGGTGGGAGGTGGCTGAACCAGAGCCCTGTAGGCTCACTGCTGCTCAGGCTCCCCTATCAATGAACATGTGATTTGTTTTCTTAAAACATTGATTTTGTTGTTATTCTTTTGGCCAGAAGCTTCCAGTCGCTTCCCTTTGTCTAGTGACATTAATAGGTAGCACAGAGTTCACAGGTCTTTGGGTGCCCTGTGCAACTGGTCACACTGTGCCTTCCCCTGCTTCAGCCTGCTCGCCAGGCTTTCCTGGTTGAAGTCCCTGTGAGGCTTCATATTTAGGCATTGTGGTCTGGGAAGCTTTTATCAGTGCCCCAGGTGGAATTAGGTAGTTACCCGAGCTCACCTTTTACTTACTTCCCTCATACAGCATTATCTTTTAACTGCCTTTATTTGGAAATTGTCACCGTTGCCATATTGCATCACTTGTCTAAACTATAGACTTATCAGAGACTGAGAATGTGGATCGTGTTTTTAATGCGTGATAGCCCTGACCCTAATACTAACCCTAAATTAAGAGTTGAATATATGACAGATTATTCTAATGCTAGCTAAGGGTAATTGAGCTTGATATCTTCAGAAGGTAGAGGTCTCTGTGGACAGTTTTAATGGCAGATATAATCCTCAACAAAGATCCTTCTAAGACTTTGCTGACATACCTTGTTCGTTCACTTTCACCAGCATAAACATCGCTGCTTTATTTGACTTGTGTCCTTATGGTATAGATATTCTTTCCTAGCAAACAACTCCCTGGGGTACACAGTAGCATTAAAGATGCAAGAAAAGTAGATTTCATTTCTTCTGTCATAATTTCCCTATCTGTTCTCAAAGATGCTCTGCCAGCACAGGGTTTGAGGAAGACGCACCGTGTATTTTACAAAATAGATCAGGAAGCACACAAGGAAATAAACAAATTATGGAAGTCCTGTGTTCTTCCCAGGTTTTGTTTTAGTTTTTATTTTTCAGATAGGTCTTGACTGTTTTAGATTAGTTACCCAGCCTGACTTAGAACTCCTGAACTAAAGCAACCCTCCTGCTTCAGTCTCCTGAGTAGCTGGATTATAGTTATTACCTTCGTACCTCACAGTTTTGTTTTAATTTTAATTTTTAAGATCTCTTGAATATAATTTAAGAGTTCACAATGAATAGAAAGATACTTTAATAATTATTTAATAAATAACAGTTTCTTAAAATTTTTGTCAAGTTTAGAACATTGCATGTTGAATTGTCTCAGAATGGTAAAGGATATGCCTAGCAGATCCTTTCAGTCAGAAACTGAACTCAGTTTTTATTTTTCCAGGGATTATCAGGTGATAAAATGTTTAGAATGGTTAATTTTATCATATTTTTAAAAATTTTAATAGTAAAAGCACAAAGGAAAATTTTAAAATTATAATGTAATTTGTATCTTTTTTGTTATTCCACTAATTACCACTAGATGGTGATACATAGCCAAATCAGAGACAAATAGGCAAAGAGAAATCTGGTTCTAAGAGATATTGGAGTCTTCAGAAACTTAATTTTCCCATGAAGTTTGAATTATCTGCCTTGAAACTTGGAGTTGTTTTTATATACTTAAGTTTTCCAGCTTCATGTGGAGCATACATCTATATCTTATATGTCTATCTTTTAAAGGACTAGTGCTACTTAGTTATCTAAAGGCATAACATGTGCTAGAAGCTACTCCGTAATAGGTACCGACTCCCTTCCCAGAATGCTGTGTGTGATTGTCCGAATCCTGTAATGAGTCTGGGCTGGAAGTCGGTCTTGTTTTCTAGTGATCAATAACTGAAAAGCCATTGTTATTATGCATGTGATAGTTTACATTTCATATTAAAATACTTGCAGTGACTCCTTTGATGGTACACATTTTCTTAGGAGATTGTGTGATATGAATGTATTACTGCTGAGGCAGTAGGATCACAGGTTTGAGCCCAGCCTGGGCAACTTAGACTTAGTGAGACCCTGTCTCAAGATCTGAAAAATAAAAAATGAATCAGAGTTCTGGGGAATGTACCCTGGGTTTAATCCCCAGTATCACAAAAACCAAAACAAACAAACAAAAAAAGAAAACAAGGGCAAGCTGAACATGGTGGTACATTCCTATTATCCCAGCACTCTGGGAAGCTGAGGCAGGAAGTACTCAAGTCTCACTGTCTCAAATTAAAAAAAAAAAAAAAAAAGATTGGAGATGTAGGTCAGTGTGGGACGCCTCTGTGGTTATTTAGTACTCTTGTGTAGAATGAGTTGCTTTTCCTTCTGCCCTTTAGTCTAATCTGATTCATTAGGTTTTCTAATTTGCCTTTTAAAATATTGCTTTGTCTAAAAATACTTTGTGAGCTCTACATTGAGTGGATCTTACAAGCCCATTAGTCTCTGACTCACTTAATGAAAGCTTTTTTGTTTTGTGTTTTTGTTCTTTCTTTTTTGCCTTACTGGATGTCAAGCTCAGGACCTTGTGTTTGCCAGGCAGGCACAGTGCCACTGAACTACACCCCTGGCCCTATGATGGATTTTTCTGGAGGTGGCAAGAGAGGATCCAGTACTTTATTACTAATTACAAAGATTAGTTACATAGTCTAAACATGCAATAGAATTCTAGAAATTGTGTAAATATAAATAGATACACTATGAAATCATAAGGACAATCATTTTGGTGAAATAGTATAGGTCAATCATCAACATCAAGATCAGCTATATATAGATAGTCCTAAGTACACTGAACTCAGGGCCTTCACACTGGGCTGCCTTCCTAGCCCTTATTAAAGATTAGGATCTCACTAAATTCCCGAGGCTGGGCTTGAACTTCTGATCTTTGTGCCTGAACTCCCAGAGTGCTAGAATCACAAGTGTGCCACCTTGCCCTGCTCGATTATCAGTTATGTTATTATGATATTAATTTGAAATATCTTTAAATATTCTTCCCACATGTAGCGTAAAAAAGCAGTGGACCTTAATGTTAAAATCTTGGATTTGAGTAGTCAGTTTCTTATGGGAACCAACTTTCCCATCAAGATTGAGAAGCGTCTCTTACCGGAACACATTCACCATCACTTTGTGCACGACAAGAATCATATAGTGGTCGATGGTCTACACGCAGAAGCCCCGGATGACTTGGTACGCAGTTCTTGTTCTCTTTATGATTTAGATTCTTATCCAAACTCCATAAACAATGTGTGTTGACACCGTTTTAACCCAAAATTCAGTGGTAACATAATATCCTTAAAAATTTTTCAACACAGTTTTGCTAAGCCCTAAAAATCTAATCTGTGTGATCATTAATTCCATAGATGCTTTGAAGAATGAAAATGGCTTATTAATGTCTGATGAAGAAATCCTTTTTAGACTATGATAAATAACAGTAATGACCAACCTTCTAGACTACTGAGATTTTTCACCCATAAAATCTTTATTTCACTGGGCTAGAGGTGCTTTATGCTGTAGAGACGTAAACACTGGGTCAAAGTTTGTCCCCCAGACCTAGAAGAATACTCTAGATCTCCAGCTGGGAATACTGGGGTGTCCTCAAGAGGACGACTGGGAAGGGTTTATTCACTTTGGATAAACTATTCCTCTATTTTGAAAATGATGATCGCCTATTAAATGGTGAGCGCTAACCTATGTTATTGTTGCATTGGACTTTGTGTTGTGGTATTTATATATTTTACTTTTTAAATACAGGTTCGAGAAGCTGCTTATAAAATTTTTCTTTACCCCAATGCTGGCCAATTAAAATGCTTAGAAGAATTGCTCAGTAGCAGAGATCTTCTGGCGAAGTTGGTGGGGTATTCTACATTTTCTCACAGGGCCCTTCAAGGAACGATAGCTCAAAACCCAGGTAAGCTGTTTATCTACCTTCTAAAGACAAGATAGAGTTTCTTCCTTCATTTTGTTTTTTGTGGTGGTGAGGACTGGATCCAGGGCCTTCACAGTGATACACTGAGCTACAGTCAGAGCCCTTTTTATTTTTGAAGACAAGACCTCTCTAAATCACTAATTTATGATCCTCCTGCCTCAACCTCCCAGAGTGCTGGGATTACAAGTGCGTGAGATACCATGATTAACTTCAAAATAGGGTTTTTACAAAACTGAACTTCTGATTTTTTTTTTCTTTTTGGTTGTGCTGAGGATTGAACCCAGAGCTTCACTGAGGGTAGGCAAGCACTGCCCTCAAGCACTACAATTTTAAACAGAACTGTTTAAATCAGAAGTTCAGAGCTACAGATGTGATTCACTATAATATAGTATTGCTTACCTACCCTCAGCCTGGTCTTGCGGAGAGAGTGCAGCATGGGTAGGTGTGTGCTGGTTAGGGTGGGGGTCAGTATCTTTCCTTGGGTTTGCATTAAACTTGCCTGTGCTGTGTTGAGGTCTTTATGGTTCATACTGTGTAAGAGAAAACTTTACACAGTGATAATGGTATAAGTATTTACTAGCTTTTTAAAGACTTAAAAATTATTTATAATTTAGGCAGTGAGTCAGGATTAGGGTGGCAGAGATAGTGGAACTATGTAGGTCCAGAATGTATTTTGGAGGCTGAAGTTGCAAGATTTAGTGGTGGTGAAGAGTGAGGAGAGCCCAGGAGTGGACTCTGGTCCTGCGTCTGGAGTGACAGCTATTCCTGGGGAGAGGTGCCCTGGAGCATGGCGGAGGACTAGCGGTGCATCCTGTCTCATTTCCTCCCACATTACCCCTTCTTCCTTGAGAGAGTTCCTATGTGCCCTGAACTGCTTTTATAGCCTGCTTTATACCCACAGCCATTTCCCTTACCCCATGGGAGCTGCTTCCCCTTCTAATCTGTCTATTCAGATCCTTCCCAGGTTTTCAGGGCTCAGCCCCTGAAGTCCATTACACTTTTCACTTTGCTTGGGCTCCCTTGTTCTTGAGCCCTTAAAGCACTTAAAATTTCTTTCATATAATTTATTTCCTAGTTCTCATATATATGTTATCTGTCTTTCACTGCTTTGTGCTTTTTCTGTGGTCACTGTCATTACCAATTTGATTATGCTATATTTTATATTATTATATAAAATAATATTAGAATATTATTCAGTACTTACTGTGCCATTCTTTTTTTCTTTAAATTTTAGTACATGTTGCAGTACTTGATTACATTGATTGTGGGAGGTTGGTACATGTACATAACACATATCAATTCCTTTTTATTCCCCTGCCCTTTTATTGCAAGTATCTGATACATTGTTTGTGTTTTAGGTCTTTAGAAAATTAATTAATTATTATACATACAGATTAACAGCTAGACTAACAGGCCAAAGACATATAAAACACATAAGACAATGTACCAAGTTAAGGTATACTTTTAGTTACCTTGTCCATGCTGGATTACAATAACTTTCTTCTCACTTGTTTTCCCTAATGTCTGTCTTTTATTTTGTATATTATTTATATATGAGTTTCCATATAAAAGAAACTATGCAATATTTAAGTTCACGTGTCTGATTATTTCGCTTAACATTAAGCGGTCTCAGGGTACATTTATTTTTCTATGAATGACTCAAGTTCCGCGATCCCTTTTCACTGCTCTGCAGTCTCGTGAAGTAGTATCGGTAGCCATGTCATAGATAGGAAGTCTCAGATTAGGATATATTGCTACCATGTGGCAGAGCTGGACCCTTAACACACACTGTGAATTCACATTTTTCCCAGAATGTGTTTTCATCTTCTATAGCCTGTATTTTCATTCATCTATTTAAGAAGTTTTTACTGTGGGTCTATGCCAGGTATTGTTGTAGGCACTGGAAATCAATAACAGTAGAAAGCAGGAGGGAGCTCCTGCTTTAGGCAGTTGGTGTTCTTGGGAACACATTAAGATCAAAACACATTGGTCGAGAGAGTGATGTGTTATCAATGTGAGCCATGGAGGATGTGGAGTTGGGAAGGGGATGGGGACTGAGAGTGAGGGTAGGGGTAGCGTTGCCCTTCTGTACAGTGTGAGGGGGGCTTAATGGGAATGTGACATGTGAACACGGGCCTGGTGGTGGCACAGGGAAGAGGTTCCGGGAAGAGGCACAAACAAGACACAGACCAGAGGTAGAGAAGTGCCTGCCTATGAGGTATGATCAGAACACACAGTGCATATTGAAATTAGAAATTATTACAGTAAAAGACACTTCCATTAATTTCCCTCAAAATCCTCCCCATCACTTCCAGCACACTTATACCATCATTTTTGCCACTTTCTGAAGCAGTTTTGGAAGTCCCCTTCTGTGAGTGTCTTTAATTGTGTGTTGTGACTGCCTTGATGTCCTGAATCACTGAATACGGTCAATTTGGTGAATATGGTGGACATGATACACGGTAATGTTTTTATTTGACAGAAATTGCATACCAAAGCAAGGAACAAGCCAAAGATTTTTTTTTTTTTTTTTTTTTTTTTTGGTACCGGGGATTGAACTTGGGTCCTTGAGCTTGCGAGGCAGGTGGCAGAACCACTGAGCTAAATCCCCGGCCAAGCCAAAGATTTTGTCTTAAGCAACGAGAGTTTGCTTGAGGATGCTGAATAGGCAGATACACAGCACAGGGCTGAGAGCGTCCTGTACAGGAAGGGTGAGCTTGAGTCTGTATTTGAAGGAGTGAGGGTATAAGGTCACCCAGAAGCACATTTATAGACTGGAAGGAAATCCAAGGCCTGAGCTCTGCAGCCCTCTGAAATAAGAGGTCAGGCTGTGATGAATAACAGCAAAAGCTACTGAGAAGTGACGGTTGGATATAGGAGGAAAGCGAACAACTCATGTGCTCTTGGAAGCCACACAAAGGAAATGTCAGTGTGAGGAGGGAGTGACAGCTGCTGAGGCTGGGCACAAGGAGGTCTGGGCACCAGCCATTAGCTCGAGAGCGTGGGTTGGAGCTCAGTAGAGCAGACTAGTACCTGAAATTGCCTAATCATGAAGGGGTCAGTAGAGAGCAGCTAATACATAACAGTTTTGTTTTCCTTTTGCAGTTCCTAACATCATTTAACACAGCACATGAGGCTGTGTCTTCAGAGTCTGTCTCAGGCTTGTTCAGTGTTGACAGTGGCAAGAAACCCTGGGGTTTTGTGGTTTCGGTTAACCTCTGTTCTTTCCTTAGCCTTTCATTTCACTCCAAAAGGAGATAACTTAAATTAAAGAGAGGGCAAGAAACTTAAAACTGTTTAAAAGATCATCTGGAAACTATAAAAGCAATGTTTGTGGCAAACTTAAAATACATAAAAGCTCTATACAGTACACATAAGTCAGTGGCAGACAGTACGAAATGAAAAACTACCTGCGATACATTTCCTTTCATGGGAAATAATGGTAATTCTGCCACATTGCTTTTATGGGCTTATAGTGACTATAGCTGAAGTATTTCAATAAGGGATTAAAAATTCTATTAGAACTTCATGTTCCTAGTGTTCTAATTTTGCTCTGGTTTTCTTTTAGTTTTGATCCTGAGTATTCTACAGTGGAATATAAAAGTAAAAATGGTTAACTGGAAAGACACTGATTTTTAAAATTAAAATTTTCAGTAAATCATACTTCTCAACTGTACTGATTTTTATGAACAAATCTGAATCTATCTCTTTAAAACAGAGAAAGCAGACATGTCTAAGCAACTATATTTTTTAATCTTGCACATATAAATAGGTAGAAACACATTGAAATTTTGGATTTTTTCCTTTTAGCCTCTCACTTTTAATTAAGTAATGCTTTTAATTTTGGGGTATAATCTAAGGCTTTGGAGTATTACTATGCCTAGCATATTTTTCTGATTGTCATCCAGAATATTTGTTATATACCTAGTATTTTAGCAGCCCTGCTTCCCTTAGAAACCCTGACTTTAAGGAAGTTGTAATATATAGATTATGATCATTATATTTTTAAAAGATAATGTTGTTTATTTTACATAATTGAGGAGTTTTTTGAATTTCATTTTTAGAGACTGTCATGCAGTTCCTTGAGAAACTATCTGACAAACTTTCTGAAAGGTTAGTTTCTGTTTTACTGTTTACTATCTTAGTTGTGTGTTTGTTTTTTGACAATAATGATTTATAAAACATTTAGAAAGTAGCCTATGAAAATCATAAGTTGGACTATAAGATGATCTATGACAACTTGGCCATCTGATGACACTTACCACCAGTCACACTTTAAACGGACACAGGTAGGGGTGGGGATTTAGCTTAGTGGTTCCGGTCCCTGCCTCACAAGTACAAGGACCACAGTTTGAGCTCCGGTACCAAAATAAATAAATGAATAAAAGGACATGGGTAGTTTCATGCGTTGCCAATCTTGATCGTTCAAGTGGTCCCTGCCCACAAACCCATTGTTTTTAGCAAGCCATCCTTTGTATGTAATTTCAAGATATTTCTAGGACCTTCTCTAAATTATTTATCTTAACCTGTGGCATACATTTTATAACATGTTTATAAAGTAGCATTTCTAATGTTTTAGGCTAAATATAGGAGACTCATGAATGTGGTAGATTAATCTTTTGAATTTTGTGTGTTTTAAGATCACTCTGCCGCAGCCTTTGTAATGCTAAGAGGGTGTGTTTTCCTCAGTCTGGCAGACCCTCTGCACATTCAGTCTGTTCTGTGGTGCTGTGCTGTGCCTGGTCCTCTCCTAGTCCTTAGCACAGGGTGGTACATGGTTGTCCTTAGAGTCCTACTGCTTGGGAAAGGGTAGGCCAGAGTTGGTAAAAGAAGGTGGTGTTGTCTCTCTCTTTTCTTAAAATGTACTGAAAAATTTGTTCTTTTTGAACTATAATAACACATTCAATTTTAGCTCAAATTTCTATTTTGGATTATAAAATCTTATCTTGAAACCCATTCCTTTTCTAACTGGACTTAACGTTTATCACTTTTAAAATCTTTTTTTTTTAATCCCATTGGAACACTGTGCTTTTCATATAATGAAGAGAGAATACTAGTTATGTGGTTATTACTTTGCCTTGATTAAGTATTAGTATTCCTTATCCATTTGTATGTAGCTACAGATTATATTCTCAGCAAACATATCTTCATTGTTTTATTTTATCTAGGAGTTAATTCTGACTTGGACTTCATATTTTACAAACATTAAGTACCTAATGAATGATTGCTTAGAGATTTTCTGTAAAGGAAAAGTTATAAATAGATATGTTTATCTACATTAATACTTTTATAGAAAGTAATTTGTGTTTTACTGTTTAAAAGTAAAGCAAGAAATATCCGTTTAATGTTTGTCGATTAAAGCTTTGCATGTTTCTGTAACTTTGCTAGTTGTTGTCCCTCTTCCCACTAAAACTCGGGATTTTACGCTTGCCAGGCAGGCGTGGGTGCCACTTAGCTACATCCCTGATCCCCAGGCTGTAGTACTTTCAAGACATATTTGCCACGGTGCCTTATAAAGTGAAATTGCCGTGAGGTAATGATTAGTATGTTGTCTTTTCTAACACTTGAGAAAGATTTGGATTAATACTGGTTGACATTTGCATAACAGATTACATCTAATTTTATCATGAGCATGGTGAAGTAGTAGAGGCAAGCTAAATAATTCTTTCATAATGCAGTTATTGAAATTCTGTCCTAACTAGTATATAAACCTCTTTTACAGAGCTATAAAAGATTTTGAGATGATGCAAGGGATGAAAATGAAACTAAATCCTCAGAATTCTGTAAGTAACTATGTTGGACTGTTTTTATTATAAACATTTTACCAACTGAAACCATTATCTCAATTCTGGAACTTTCTTTTGATATGCTGGATGTCTGTGTAGTCTTGTTTCTGATACTTGGTTTTGGTCAATAAAGGTATTCAAGAATTTGATCCATAGGTCTGGGTCAGATATTGCTTGGAAATCAGCCATTTTTTAGCCAATGTGTTGTGTGTTTCTGTGTCTGCACATACAGTATATAAGTGTGTATTAATGTAATGTGTGTGCATGTTTGCAAAGGCTGCTTCCATCTGGGAAAAGTTGGCTTCTCAGTTTGAAATAGCCTTTAATGGGTCTCAGGGGAGACTTGATCTAGCAGGTGGCAGTTTAAACCGTTGTTGTTAGCATTGCTGCTTATGTGGTCATTTTTGTGCTAATTTGTGGTGCTCAGTGAAGTAGATCAATATAGACTGATAAAGTATACCCCATTCCAACCAACATGCGTATTTTAAAGCCTAAGGTCATATGATTACATAACTTCACAGTATAGAATGCTGCCCAAGTGCTTGGGGGGCGCTCAAAGAAGTAGACTTCTATATATTCCTGTAGGTTTAAAGGCATTGCAGTATTTCTGGACATATACCATCCTTTCGTAGTTGTTGTTGCAGATAATTCTTGATTTGATAGCTGCCAGAGCTGTAGTCTAAAAGAAAATTTAGGGAAAGTGTTCTTGCAGATTTAGAGAATATTTGCCACCTTCCCAGACGCACCCACTAAGAAAATAGATTGTAAATTACTGTACTTGATAGACTAGTCTGTCAAACTGTTAGTTTATGACAGGAGATCTGTTTAGCAAAATGACTAGTATCAGTCATCTGTACACTTTGGCTTGATAGGAATATCCACTTAGGAGAGTAGATAATATATCAGTGTTTAGTTTGGTGAACACAGAAAAGGAAAAAAGAAAAATAAAATGTGTCACCAAAAGGTAATTCAGTAAAGGCTAGAATGACTTGAAACTATCCTTCCTGTACATTTTTGTGTAGTTTGTTGATACAGGTGATTCTGCACATATTTGTGAAGTGCTTGATTTTCTCATGAAGTCCCTATTCTGGTGAATAGTACCAGCACACACTCAGCCAGAATCTGCACTTAGTCTGGATCACTGGCTCTCAGAGTAGGGTCCTTGGACCAGAATCAGCAACATTGCTTGGGGTCTTATTAGAGTCACAAAGTCCCCAGTCCCACGTCAGACCTTCTGAAGCAAGGTCTTGGGCAGACCTCACCGCTTGAGACCCATCAGCCCCCAGGGACTTCATACCACATTTAGTCCCTACTGAGTCTACCTTTCCTTTGTAGGGAACCTCCTTTGTGTGTGCTGCGTAGGCTGTTTATCATTACAAGCTCTAAAAGGTTCACCATCACTGCTGTAGGTCCTTGCTTCCCCATACCCCTTTTCCACAGTCTGGGTTGTGGTCATTATGATTTCTCACTCGTATTATAATTGTAGTTGCTTAATTGATCTTTTTTCTTTTTGTTCTTGCTCCCCCTCAAAACCATCTTGGATTCAGACTGCTTAGTGTGCCCAGCTCACTACTAGGCATAAAGTAGGTTCTTAACACTTAACTTGAACTTTGAATGAATGAATGAATGAATGAATTGCCATCAGAGGGATATTTTTAAAACGCACACATGATCTCATCATTCTCTTCTTTAAAATTTTTTGATAAATCTGTGATTCTCAGATTTCCTTCTTTCGCCATGCCCGTTAGAAGTTGGCCCCTGCTTACCTCTGCATCCCCCAACCTCTTGTCAGCCCTTCAGGCCGAGCTAGTGTTCTTTGCTCTCTGCTAATACCTGCATGAAACTCATGTGCTTTTTTTCACTTAGCTTTTGTCCTGCTGTCCTTTGCTTTGGTTTCTTTTTTTCTTTATCTCTTACATACACAGGGTACACTAGGTATCTGCCAGTCACTCACGTGCTGTACACAGGAATGCCTCTCTTCCTTTTTCATCCGAATTAATGGCTTCCACCTCTCAAAACTTCATTTAGGCTTTGCCTCCTCCAAACATTTCCTGATTTAAGTACCCTTCTGGGAGTTTAATGCTCCCATGCCTAGATATATAATAAATGTTGTGTGTTCTTAGCACCCTTCTTGCAGGCTGTTTTACAAGGTAGAGCACCACAGACACAGCAGTCTGTTCTCTTACCACTCAGTCATTCTCCACTGCCTGGACCACGTGCTCCTCACCTCAGGAACTGTGTTGTATTTGCTTTGTGTCCTTTGAGCCCACACTTGTGAGCATCTAGAGAGGCTAATAGAGGAAGCATGTTTCAGGAGCTGAACCCAGGGGGCTGAAGTTCCATGGACACAGGTTCTGCCTTCCAGGAGCCTATGGGGAGAAAGAAAATAATCCTGTGTGTGTTATGTGGTCATGTACCCCATGAAAGCAGCATGATCATGTGACATGGGAAAGAACTACTTGTAATTTGAGGAGGTAATGCTGAACTGAAGTCTTAAAGGACAATGGTAAAAGGAAGAGCAGCCAACATTTATTGAAAGCATAATTAATGCCAGGTGTTGTACCTAGTAGGTTAAGTGTATTTAGCAGTCTAATTTTAGGGGTGCTGTTGATTCATTCAACAAATATTTATTAAGTGACTGCCATGAACACTGATTAGGGAGGGTGCCAGGATATAACAGGGATGATGCCATTCCCTGCCCTCAAGCAGTGTACAGTCTGGTATGGACTGAAGACTTGAACCTGAGTGTCCTAACTCCACAACTTGGACTCCCAGCCTCTCTTATTTATGTGCACATGTTGTGGGGAGGGTGCTGCACTCAGGTATCCAAGCTTCCCTTTCTTTCAGTATTCTGTACTAGTCACCAAAAACAACCGTTATCACAATGCTTATTTAAGACATATTTTCTTTGCAAAGATTAGAGTTAATTCTGCCTTAGTTACCTTTTAAATTATTGCTTTCATTTTAAGAATACATCTTAAGCTTCTTGCTTAGATTTAAAAAGAACCCTAGTCTTAACTTTAGTACCATTAATCATACCTCTATTTTATGCTTTAATACATGGATTTCATTTTGGGAAAAATGTCATGTGACAAACTTCATCCATTAATGTTGGCTCTTGTTAATTTTCATTTTAGAACGACATTTACATGTTCTCCAAATTCTAGGGTTATGCTTTATTTATACCTCTCTATGCATCAACTACAGAGAAGTCTGCCAGACCATGAGTTTTTGGGATTTTATAAGATTTCTGTAACTTCCATTAAAAATAACTGGTTTGGATCTTATGGGCTGCTGATAAGTGGTTATTTTAAATCAGCTTTTATTAGCTGGCTGAGTTACCGATACAATCCCAAAACACTAAGTAGCTTTCATAACAGTGAATATTCCGTTGTAGGAACTGATGCCTTGGGATCCCCCCTATTACAGTGGTGTGATTCGTGCAGAGAGGTAAGTTTTTCAAGAAATTACTGTGTGAGAAAGAAGAAAGAAAGTAATATTTATTGAGCACTTTGTACATTAATTATGCAACCACTGTCATCTATTTAGGTGCCCATATTACAAACTTGTTTCCCCACAAATTCATCCCCTCAGCTGGTGCCACCAGCTCCTGCTCACTCTTCTTTGTGCTCTGACTAGAGAGCTTGTCTGGAAGTTCTATCAGGGGAGTGCAGCTACTCCTTTACCTTTGACCGAGGAAACAGTCCTTCTCTAGCATAGTGGCCGTCCTCTTTGACCTAGTCAGCGAATGAGCTCGCAGCTTCAGGAGAGATGCGCATGGAGCAGTGAGGGAAGAAGGGGACACCCACCTAGCCAGCCAGATCATCTGAATCAACCTTGGTGACCAATGCGATGACAAATGTCATAGCCAGATCTCCCTCATAAGCAGTTGTTCTCTGACTGATGATGCCACGCTCACCCTCCCCACAGCCCCATCCTTCTACTGCTTGTGCATTTTTGTGTTTGCAGCTCTGAACTGCATCTTTGTAGTATCCAGAGCCAGGCCCTGTTTTGCTCTCCCTGTGTGCAGCTTCCTGGTCCGCTCACTGCACTGCGGCATTATTTAGTGGTGGATTTTGCTGGAAACCTGGTTGTGTTCCCTTCTTGGTATGGGCGGATGTTCAGCAGTGTGTGTTGAACTAGTGAAGGAAAAAGCAGGCTTGTGGTGGTGCTACTGATTTTTCTATGTTTTCTCATTTTTATTTGAATACATTGTCAACACATTATTGGCATGTCTGGAAAGATATAAATGAAATAAAAAGTTAAGAAGGAAGTTGATTGAAGTACCCTTCTGGCTTCTGATTTCTCCTGTGTTTATTAAAGCTTTAGTAGATATGCTTTTTTTCTCCCTAAATATACCTTCTCTTATTTTTATATTTACTTTCAAGCCGAAGAAATACAGAGTCCTGTACAAAGTTTATGTCCCTAACAACTTTATATGCCCAATAGAATTTTTTAAAATTTCAGAATCCTACCCTTTAACAACTCATTAACATTTTTCTCTTATAGGTAATTTTTACAATATGTAGTCTAAGAGTGTTATGATTGATTTGGGTTTAAAAATTTTTTTCTTAGTTATTTGATTGGTGTTAAGCTTTAAAATATTTTTGTTACAATGCAGTATTGAAACATCAAGTAAAGGGTAATAGGTACCTACAAAACGAAACAACCCAATCCAATGGTAAGTCTTTTGGAAAGAGAATGTCATAACTATCTGAATGGCATTTTTTTATCCATCAGCCTTTCTGAAGGCAGTGTGGCCCTCAGAGGTCTCATAATATGCACCTGTTCTCAGAGCCTTCACTCACTGACTCTGAATTCCCTGGCTGTAGTGGAGCACAAGGTGACTTACCTCATAGCCACATAGGCTTTACCTTATTTTAATTAAAGTTGTAGTACTAGTTCATTTATTTGGCTTAACTCAGTCAAGGAACTGGGGAAAAGGGTGCAGAAGAGCCTCGGGAAGGATTATATGAATTGGAGGATTTAATCATCTATTTTGTGTAGCTTACCCAGCATATGGTTGAGTTTGGGTTTGAGGTTTTAATAATCTTGATTGACAAGAGTGGGCAAAGAGGCAGAAGTAATGGATGATTAAGAAAGGGAAAATATAATAGTTTGGGTTTGAGGTTAGAAGGGTAGAACAAAGCAAAGATTTATAAACCCTTGTTAAATTCATCAACTTTCAAGTAAAGATTTAAATGTGTGATTAGATGCAAGATGAAAAATAGAAGGGACTTTCCTTGATTCAAGCTTTTCTTCAAGCTAACCCCAGGTACTTTTTTCCTTTTATGTTAAATACTTCAGGCTCTTACACATCTGCCTAAAGAAGAAAAGAGCCCACTTAGAAGTAGGGGATAAATGAACATGTTTTAAAACTGCTGAAGATTGATTTGAGAGAATAGTATGCTAAAAGACTGTTGGGAAATCTTAACAAGCAGCTCACTTTTCCTTCAAGTTTTCGTGTTAGATTCTCTACAGAAGAGGGAAATTAATTCTTTCAACTGTGAAAAGTATGAAGTGATTTTATTTGAGATTAAAGTTTATTTTTGAGCAGGCAATACGTTCACATGGTACAAAAAGTTAAAACAGTGTTCAGTAATTGTCAATTAAGAAATGTTGTATCTCACCCCTGCCTCTCTCCCAGAGGTAATCATTTTAAATTTGATTGTTCTACCCTTGCTGTAATTGGGTTTTATTTTTAATGCTTTGGGGATATTGTTTCTTTACTTTAGGTAATGACTTTCATTGAATCATATTTCATTCATTTTGGTGCTTTCTTATATTAAGATATCATTGGGAAGTAGAGATTCAGTATTGTCTTTTCTTTATTAAGATATATTCCCAAGGGCTGGGGATTTAGCTCAGTGGTTCCACCACCTGCCTTACAAGTGCAAGGACCCGAGTTCGATCCCCAGTACCAAAAAAAAATGTATATTCCCAAAATCTCAAAAGCATTCACATAGTGAAATAGGGATGTTTTTGTCTTTTAAATTATTTAGAAACCAATGGACTCTCACAGAAAGACTTTCGTTTGATATGTGAAATTATATACCTTATTTGTTGGTATAGGCACCATGACCTATTGCTTTTAAATTTTTGAAAATTAACCTTTATTGTGAAACTTTTAAAATAAATAGAAGTAGAAAGAATAATGATAAGTAACCTTCATATGGTCATCCTAAAATAAAACATCAGCAAGGTTTAAAAAAAATTTACATTATTATTATTATTTGCTTTTGGTTTTCTTTCTTCTGCCTCCCTCCCTTGTTTTTAAAATATTTTAAAGCCAATCTTAGAATTCCAGTCATCTTAGTCTGGCTCTCGTATATAACTCCAATATTATTAGGACCAAATAGTAACAGAAATGCCATCATCTAATATCTAGTCTATATTCATATTTTCTCTTATGGATTCTGTGTTGTCAGTTTTCCATCACTGTAACAAAGTACTGAAATAATCAAGGAAGAAAGGGGAAAAGGTGGATTTTGGCTTGCAGTTTTAAAGGTTTCAGTCTGAGGCCCATTAGCTTCATTCCTTTGGAATTACGAGAAGGCTGTGCATCATGGTGTGGGCTGTGTGGAGGAGGAGGCTACTCACCTCATATCAGCGAAAGGCAGAGAAAGACAATAAGGAGCAGTATTCCTTTGAAGGACATGGCCCCAATGACTAATTTTTCTCCCACTAGACCAACATCTTTTTTGGGGGGGCGGGGGGTTTGAGACAGGGTCTCACTATGTAATTGAGACTGACCTGACCTGGAACTCACTATGTAGCCCAGGCTGGTCTTGAATTTAACAGCGATCCTGGTGCCTCAGCCTCCCGGGTTCTGCGATTACAGATGTACACTACCGCCCCTGGCTTAGACCAGCATCTTAAAAGTCCCACCCCCTCCCAGTAGCACCATGAGCTGGGATCAAGCCTTCATCCTGTGGTCCTTTGAGGGACATCAGAGATCCAAACTGAGGCAGTATCAAATCTATGTTTTCCCAGTTAACTTGTTGGAATTAGAGTTCAGGCGAGGCATACACATTCCATTCTTTTTTTTTGTCTCCTGAGTCTCTCACTTGAGCAATTTCCCACACCTTATTACTTCCAGGAGCTATTGCTGAAGAGATCATGTCTTTTGTCTTAAAGAATCTCCTGGATTTATCTGGTTGCTTTCTAGTGGTATCATTTCACTAGTTCCTTTTTCTGGTGCCATGCCTGTAAGATAGATGCTATAACTAAAGACTTGATCTTAAACATTTTCCATTTGGTCAAAGACACTCATAGGTAACAGTGTAAACCTTTTCATAGCAGGACACATAAAATGAAAATATCAGTAACCACCCCTCCCCTGTATTGGTGGTGCTAAGATTGACCCTTAAGATGGAGTGAAGCCAACCTGATCTCTGAATTCCATGGTTAGCATTTCCCTGTAGGAAGTGATCTACATGGTATTTACATGGTATTGTTGGCAGCCAGTTCCCCATCAGTTGTTCAACTAATGGCTTTAACACCTTTGATAGTCCTGGCATGAGTAATTCTTTTAAATTACCAATTTTCAAAATAAGGATTTAATAGTTTTCAGAAATGATGCCCAATGATTATGTTTTGGCTCTGTTGAAAATGTCATTATAAATATAATTTTATTATATTTATAATTTATTTATAATTTATAATTTATTTATTATTGTGTTTCATTCCATGCTAGTCATTTTTGTCTAGAAGCCAAAATTGTTATAACTTGGCCAATTATACCAAAACTTTTTAGTAGCTCTTTCAGGAGATTGTTCAGGGAAAAGCAAAACACCTGCTTTTATGAGACCCAGTTGCTACTGAGAACCAGTTGCTGCCTTCCTGCAGGGTAGAAGGGGTGAGACTGCTCCAGCTTTTTTGTTTGTTTGTTTGAGACAGGGTCTCACTATGTAGTTGAGACTGACCTGGAACATACTATGTAGCCCAGGCTGCTCTCGAACTCACAGTGATCCTCCTGCCTCAACCTCCCGAGTGCTGGGATTACAGGCGTGCGCCATCACGCTCCAGTTCTGAACCAGGAGATTCCATGATGTAGGCTGGGGTCTGAGGATGATCTGGACATTTCTTTTGTTTGTTTTCCAACTATTTTTAACAGTAAAAAGTATGTAAAACTAGAAGGAAAATATATTCTAAATGTATAAGTCTTCATGGGTTATCAGTGGGGTGGAGATGTAAAGGGAAAAAAAAGGAAGGATGAGATGAGTACTAGTGAACAGGAAAAGAACAAACAAGGCAGTGTTATTGGAGCTATATATACCCCTGTAATCTCAGCATGCTAGGAGGCTAAGGCAGGAAGAATATGAGTTCAATGACAGCCCATGCAATTAGTGACTTCGAAGGATCCTGTCTCAGAATAAAAAATAAAGAAGACTTGGAATGTAGTTCAGTATGAAGACCCTGGGATTCTGTTATTGGGTAGCTTGCTTCTA